TGATGGAATGGTTGGGAAGTCGCTCGAGCCAATCCAATGCCTTCCCTTTAAGTGAGAATGGGAAGAGTCTCAACCTAAGAGCATCCTCGGACACATTAGTTTTCTTGCTCCCCCAACATGTATTCACGAACCCCTTGAGATGTTTGTAAGCATTTTGATTTGCAGGGCCCGTGAAATACTCATGTTGTTCTAGTAAGTTCAACATCACATTGGTTATTTGAAAATTTCCCACCCGGATTCGGGGTGGGACAATATCACTTGCATAGCCTTGGCTCGGAAGTACTCTAGGAGCCACTCTTGGAGGTAGCGGAGGAGGGTCGGGGATATTGTCATTAGCATTAGCATTAGCCTGGCGGCCTCTACGTTGTACTTGAAGTACAAGAGGCACCTCATCATCTCTGACATCATCTACCTCCTCCCCCGCAATCACAGTTCCAAGAGGGTCATTAGCGTTGTTTGCTGCCATTTGGTACCTGAGTTGTGCCACAAACAAATTAGTAACAAAGAAGGAAAGAAGAACAATACACAAAACTATTTAAATAGATATCCAAAAATATTAGCTCCCCAGCAACGGTGCCAAAAAGTGATCGACGCCTACCCTGCACTACTATTGAGTAGCGAGAGAGGGTCGAAGCAGCTTTTACCTAATTTAGGGTCGAGATTGATTTCCACAGAGAGCTAGATGTTGGAGTAGGGTATCTATCTAATTTAGAGTTGGGTATGTGTTCCAAATTACACTTCTAAACATTTTTGGGTTTATGTTTTACATCTACTTTTATCAAACTGCAATGGTAAATTAAACTAAAATAAGCTAAGAGTAAAATGTTGCGAATTGTTCAAATGGTTTAAAAGGCACTAGGGTAGTGACTTTCGCCTAGGTGGTCAATTGACGGATACTTGAGTTTAAGGCATGATTGATATATTTGGGGAGTATGATATAACCGTTGCACGATTTTACCCACTCTACACCTCTCGGTGGTTCAAGTGATTTTACCCGAATTGACTTTCTCAAGACCATTTGGGTATGCAAATTTGCACAAGCAATCAAGGTTCAAGTAGGGTATTACTCTCTCGAGGTTTAACCCTTTAATTAGGGCTATCAATCTCTTGAGTACGCCCCAATTCCTTGTTGGACCAATTTCAGAGACTCAAGCTCTCTTTCTCAAGAAGAGCTCAAGTCAACTAAACACAAACTAGTGTTTGCAACCACTAATTCAACAATTAAACATGAAATTAACCCAAATATCAAACACCTCTAGTCAATCTAGCCCTAAAACACAAGACCCATCAATTACCCACACTAGGGTTGAGCCACAACCCTAGCTTATGGGTTTAGCTACTCATAATTAAAGAAGAAAAAAAAGAAATAGATGAAGAAAAACTCATATTAATTAATTATTAAATGAAATAAGAAGATTCAATGTTGAAATGTAGCAAAAATTACTCAAAATAGCTAAAACTATAAAGTCACAAGCGCAACTCTGAAGAGAAAACTATCTGATGACCTAAAAAATGGGAAAAGAAGTTATTTCTACTAAGCTGAAAAATATGGACACAAATACCCCTATGGGGCTAGTGCGGACTGCACAAAATCACTTGCGGCCGCACTAAGGCTCTAAGCCTAAGAATCTAGCTCTCTGAACTCAGGCAATACGGACCGCACAGAATGGAGTGCTACCGCAGAGGCTTCTAGTGCGGTCCGCATGAAATGGAGCACGGACTGCATTGGCATGAAACTCGAAACTGGCACTCTCTGATCCTTTTTACGGCGGACCGCACAAAATCGAGTGCGGCCGCATTGATCCCAGTGCAGACCTCATAAAACCTAGTGCGGCCGCATTGCCCTTTTTGCCTGAATATCATACTCTCTGAACCTCATTTGTGCGGACCGCACAGAATGGTGTGCGGCCGCACTGGCCTTGTTTTGTCTGAGCTTTGTCTTGTCTTGATATTTGTGTAAGTTTCACTTCTTTTTAGCTGATCTTTGACATCTTGTCACCTTGTTGATCAAACCTGCAATCAAGCACAAGTTGTGAGCTTTTGGGACTATTTTGTACACATTTCTAATAAAAACATAAGCAAGAAGAAGTATAAAATGTAGCAAAATCCCTAGTTATCAGAGCGCACCAACATCTTCCGCTGAGCTGATAGCCTACTTGGAGGGCTCTCGACTTGTCTATCGAGACCTGCGAGCATGAAACACAGTGTTACCAGGCAAAAGGGATATCAGTACAAAAAATATACCGAGTATGTAAGGCACATAGTACATAACAGACATGGAAGAAATATACAGTACTTAACTCAACCTGTAAGTCTGAATAACTCTGTAAATCATGAAATACTTTTAGTGTCATGCATATGCGTATGAATGTCATTTCGTGCATAGGTACATGTCTCATAACATCATCAGCCTCTGATGGCATCCCATCGTATCATATCATCCACTGTGGGCAAAATTATCAACGTATACCAGCTGATCAGGTGGTGGTGCGTATATAACGTCGTAACCTTTTCTCATATCTCATATACATATATTTACATATATACGCGTATATAACGTCATTTGATCATGGGTCAATGCACATGAGTAAAATGCATGAAAAATACGTAATAATCTCAATATTCCTTCCGGATAAACTTTTCCAACTGCGTATTATTCTGAGACCTATGAACAGAAAATAATAATAATTTTCATGGGGAATCAATTATATAGACACCTCTAATAATTCTATGAATAGAGTAATTTATGAAAATTGTGTGTTCGCTCGTTTCTTCAGTATCATATGGACCATGCCAAAAGAAAGGAGGGATACACTTAACATACCTGGAGCAGGAACAACTCCTTATAATTATCCCGTTGAAAACTTTCGTGGATTGAACTTAGAACCCCAAAATCGGAATTAAGCTTCTGTGCTTTTGAACTTGAGGAACGAAATTGGCTTGGATTTACTTGAAATTGGAACGAATCTTGGATTAGATTTGAAATTTGGATGAACTTATTCATATTCTGCTTCTCAAGTCATTTGTTTGAAACCAAAACATAATGCTTTGATTTTGAGTTGCTTACTTAGTTTTCTAGATAATGTTAAGTCTTATTTGCTAAGACTTTAAATCATGTCTTGGTTATCACATATTAGCCATCTGGCAAAGTGACTACACAGTCACTTCCAATCTTGTGGCTTCTTGCCACGTGGGTTGGGGTGGGATATTAATAATTTAATTTTTTTATCCACTTATTAGCTAACTGAGTAATGTCTTGTTAACCGGTAATTAATCAATTACCCGTATAATTTAAAAATTATCTCAACTTAATTAAATACTATTGTCTTTTAACATACTTTCTATACCTACTAGCATGATCATGTAGTACCTTGTATGGCACTAGTCCATAAATACTGGGTATTTTAGCTCGGTCCGTATTTTATCCCAAAATGTCAAACTTCGACAAAATTCATTCTCTTCGATTTTACTTACCCTCTTACCTTTACGAATTTACTTATCACTTATAATCCTTATAATCCCCAAATAATCTTTTCATTGGACTGATGTCAATTTCCTTGCGACAAATTCAACGTACAATACTACAAGGTGCAACCTCGTCGTAACTTAATACTGCCAAGCGTGACATCACCGTAATATAATACTGCAGGGCGTAATATTATTCGCCCCTTTGGAACATTCGTCCTCGAATGTTGACTACTGATGCATTTATCATTTTCATAACTTATATCTTCCGACTACTTTAGAATTTCCCTTGCCATCTAGGAGACTGTTTTGTGAATGAGTCCAAAGTCCATGGCATTCCCCCCTTAGGCCTCCTTCTCACACCACTTGTAGTTGGAATTCTTCCAATCTCATAACTGTTGCTACCTTTCATCATGCAGCCTGTACAATTTTGACCTTGTATGTGTGCCCATTCTCTAGGCTTCATATGTAGAGCTTGATAAGATGTCCCTTTGGGCATCTATGAGTATACTGAAGTTCCTCGCTCGGTACTTTATTGAATTCATGAATATTGCTATATCTCATCGCATAGGTCCGTTTAGCCATCCGTACAAATTTACTGTCATAACTCTTATTTTAATTTATCATTGCTGAAGTCTGCTACCAAATCTCAGCTTATTCTCGTTGCTTATTCCTTATGTATAAATTTAAGTCCTTTAATGCTTCCTCATTACTGCTCATCTTTAGAATGACGGCCTAATCTCATCTCATACTTTGTGACTTTTGTCCATCTATTGTTGATTCACCTCAATATTAATCTACAATATACCACTGATAACTTGAAACTTCTTACCTAATACTTTTCCCCTAGGGCTTACGTTACATCAAGGAATATTCGAAGTGATTCCCATAATCGTATTTCATAGTGTCTCAAAGTGATTCACCTTATGGGGGTATCCTAATTTCGTGCCGCTAGCGAAATCTTTTCTCCTTCTCTTCTTTTTTTTCTTTTTGAAATCATTATTCGGACGAAGGTCCAAACGTCATCCTTTATCTGTCACAATTATACCCTCATTTTATTACCAGGTCAGCATTTCATTTCTTCTAAATACTATTAATCTTAGACTCCTTTGACACTACAATAAAAAAGGCCTTTAGTGGCAATAAATATTTTTTTTAGCGGCAATAGCTATTGCCGCAAAAACTATTACCAGCAATTAGTTATTTGTCGTTGTATCCAGCATCGCTAAAAGCTTTAGTAGCAATTATATCAAGTGTTGGTAAAGGTCCCAATTATTGCCGCTAAAAGATGGAGTTTTTAGTGGCATTTAATTACAAGCAATTACAATAGCCACTAAAGCTACCCATCAATTAGCCTTTTATTTTTCTTTAGCAGCATTTATTATGGCCGGTATATATTTATTTTAATGTTGATAAAGGTATCTTTTTAATAGCCATTATAATAGCACCTAAATCTATACCGAGATTTGCAATTATACTAATATTTAATAGCCTTTCAGTTGTATGAAATTCCAATATCATAAATATGTTACTCATTCAAGAAATTATAATAATATTTTATTAAATCTATAATATACAAAAACAAATGCTAATACATAAATTTAGAGTATCAACACAAAGAAAAAATATAGCATTCGAATCCAACAATAGTAGTTTCTCCTTCTACAAGCCTAGTTCCATATAGTGTCAATTTTAGCCTCCAAAGCACCATCATATTCAGATGTGGTAGACCAAAGTATTTATTCTCTCAATATCCATTTCTGCCCCAACGCGAATCAGATGATACCGGTCATTATCCATGGAGTCTTGACAAGGCTAAACAAGCATGATCGATTCTTGATGACACCAGCAGGTTGCATCCATTCAACAGTAAATTTGTAGCCACGTCATTTGTGGATTGTCGCTTCGAAGCAAACTGCACAAAAGAAGTTGTTAGAAAACTTGCGCCATCTACTCGTGAAAAAAAATTAATATATATGCAGTCGAAGTTAGACGATGAAGGCAAAGATAAACTTTGATTCTCTTCAACTTTGTACTCTTAGCTCTTTGTTCATTAAGCATTACAAGTGACTAGTTCATATTAACCAAAAAAAACACACATTCAAATACAAAATAATTGAATTCAGTTTTTGAAATATAAGATAACAAATAATGCACAAATAGTAAATGTGGCCGAGAAGCAAACCCAATATAACTCACGATCAAATAAATTAAAGCTTCTCAAGATATAATGTCGTCAAATTGACATCTCATCATTTAATATCGGCAACATTTCAGTTCAGGTCGTATAAAATATTATTCAAAAGTCCCATTTTAGTTGTAATTTCAAACAAAATCTATGGTGTCTCATTGTAAAAACCTATTACTTAAGATAAGATAAAAAAGAAATGATTGCAAGTTGCATTTAAACATATGGCAGGAGAATGTGCTTATGGAAATGAAATTCATGCATGAGCAGTTCGAACCTCTTGAGCATAAGTTGGTGAAATCGTAGTAATAATGTTAGAAAATACAATTGCACCCTGCAACAAGAAGGAACCATATTCACTGCATATTAAAAAATTGACATGGAAGGAAAGAAGCCGCCCAAGATCAGTTATAACAACTTAACATTAGAATCCTTCTAACTTCACATGATTTATTCTATCATTTGTTGTATTATCATGCATCCTATCTGGCTTGTTGAGTGATAAGCATCAAGACTGCAAGATGTTTAACTCTGATGTCTGAATATGTGAAAAGTAGCAGCTAAAAGATAAAGAGAAATGGGAGTCCATCTTATGACAAAAAAAATGTTTGCCAGTCAGTTGTAGAAAGAAATTAACAGGAAATTATGGAAACATCAAGAACAAGTTTTTGATCCATTTTTGAACAATGTAAATGAACAATTAGTATGTTTTTAAAATTGAAGGAGCTTCTTTCAGATTCATCAAACTTAATATTCATATAAAATAGTTCGACACTAACTTTCTCTGCATAAACAAACCAGTTGAAGCTTTTACACCAGATAGAGTTCATAGACATCTATACTAGTATGTCAACGAATTCTTTTTGCACTAGTAAAACTACTAGCAGCTATTGTAGGTATAAAATAGTGTTGGTCTGCTAAAGACTACAATGCAAAGTACTAGAAATGTGTTATATAGATACTACAATATATGTTACCGAACATCACAATAGGCTATAATAATATCTACATAGAACAGTAACAAAAGCAATTATTGGTAATTAAAATGTGCTCACAACAAGAATTTTAACTGCCTACTTGCGTTTGTGTGTAGAGTGCATGTCTTCAAGAGATTTCAAGTGACATCCAATATTGCAAATCTAATTATCAAATTAAATTTTCATTCCAAAGATCAAAATCACGAAATCACACCTTGAATTTTAGTTTCTGTTTTTTATCATTGCATCATAATATGGAGAAATTCCGACAAAATTAGAAGTCAATATATATATCCACAATGTAGAGTATATCGAAGAAAGCTTAAAATTAATAACGCTTACTGTAGAAGGAAAAACAAGCAGATAAGATAGAAATTAAAATATAATTTTAATTTTGACTAGTCATGAAACCCTAGTTTCTAATGAATGATAGAATCTATATTCAGCGCTCATTTAATCTAATCGACATAACAATAAAGAAAGTGTCACACCTCCTTTTGGCATTACACCCCGGGGAGGATGTAGAGGAGTTTTTCCAATTAAAGGACAATCGGAACAGGATTTAATTATTAATTATTCAGAGTCGCCACTTGGGAGATTAATGGTGTCCCAAGTCACCGGTTGAATCCCGAACCGAGGAAATTTATGACCCTGTTAACAGTCCGCGAACCAGAAATCCGAGTAAGGAATTCTGTTAACCCGGGAGAAGGTATTAGGCATTCCCGAGTTCNTTAAAGGACAATCGGAACGGGATTTAATTATTAATTATTCAGAGTCGCCACTTGGGAGATTAATGGTGTCCCAAGTCACCGGTTGAATCCCGAACCGAGGAAATTTATGACCCTGTTAACAGTCCGCGAACCAGAAATCCGAGTAAGGAATTCTGTTAACCCGGGAGAAGGTATTAGGTATTCCCGGGTTCCGTGGTTCTAACACGGTGGCTCAACTGTTGTATTTGATTTTATCTGGTTTTAATACATACTAGCTTATGTGCCTTTTATTCGTAAACCGCTTTTTATCATTATTTATTTTAAAAGAATTGCGACGTCGTGAAAACACGTTTCAAACCACGTCGCAATCAATGCACTCATGGTCGTCAACATATTTCGACTTCGTCGAGGTACGGATTTGGGTCGCATCAATGCGCACCTGAGTTTAAAGAAGTAATTTAATTAAATCGTGCCTAAAGGTTCTAACGTAATATTATTTTGGGGGAGGCCGTGAAGTTCGCTAAACGGACCTCCCAAATTCTAATCAGTTTTAACAACCACTTATTGAGGGCCCCACATTTATTTGTTTTTGTTCGGTGAGGTTCGTCTCATTTGATGAACCTCTTTTCTATCATTATTTATTTTATAAGAATTACGATGTCGTGAAAACGCATTTCGAACCCCGTCGCAATCAATGCGCCCGTGATTGTCAACACATTTCGACTTCATCGAGATTTAGATTTGGGTCGCATCAATGCGCACCCGAATTTAGGAAAGTAATATTATTATACTAACGCGCCTAAAGCAATTCCGCGTTTACAACTCTGTGAGGGCCACGAGAATTCAACTAAATGGCTCGCCTCGATTTCTAAGGATTAAAATATTAATTAAATGAGGGTCATGCATTGTAAATTTTGTTTGGCACGGCACGCCTTTACACAAGATTGCAAACCCATAATGTAATAGGGCACCTACTTTATGAAAGTTGACAAAACACTTCATAGTAAATTAAACACATTTTTGACAATGAATATCGAACTTCCACAATGTGTAAAGCTAAACGAAATCTAAAATAAAACAACGTATAAGGAACCTAAAAGGTTATCTTGAAAAGCTATCCTCACTGCCAAAGAAATTATCTAATAAAAAAAAGACTTCCCCATTACTTTGACAGTGCATAATCACTCAAAACACAAGGTTTTCATTGAGGGAAAGAGAGGCGAGTTGGTCAGCAAGGCTATTAGCCTGCTGAACGTTAAAAAGAAAAAAAACTTCCATAGCCTCATTACTTTGGCCCTCAACGCCTCTTAGAAACTACGTAGGTACAAGATGAATTTGTTTTAGAAAAAAAAATAACATTTCAATGACATGCTCGAATTGACAGCAAACAATGTCCAAACAATGAAACACCTGAACTCACGACATTTTCAAATAAAAATAAAAGTAACATAGAAAGGTCCAGAAGAAACAAACCTATTATAAAACTCAAACAGAATCAACGTTTAAACATGATTTCAAACAGGAGAAATGTATTCATTCATCACTAAATATAACAAAATACAGGGGGGTTCTTTTGAATTTACCTCTTAAACAAAACAATAGGAACAGTCTCCGGTACAGAGCGGCAACAAATGAGTAACAAACAACAACGGATGCGGACTTCAACAGCCTTTTATAGATCCATGGAAGAGGAATTTAGACTTTGAAAATTCAGCAATCAATTACTTCTCCAAATCTAATTTGAAAGTCCAATTTTTCGTTTTCTTTTCGTCTTCTTTTTTCGATGATTTTTCAGAGTTTCATTTTTTGAATTCTCTCGGCTTTGTTTCAACCATTTGTGTTCAAAGAGATGATCTGTTTCTCGGCTTCTCTTGTGTGTGTTAGGGAGATAAGAAGAGGAGGAAATCCAGAGGAAAGGGGGATGGTGTTCGTTCTTTTTTATCCCCCAGGCAGAGAGGTACGCCGCTAGAGTCTAATCTCAGGGGAGGGTCTGATGATTTTTTTTTTATCTCCCCCGGGGGGGTCTTGTGTGGGGAGTTTTATTTGGGGAGAAGGTGTTATGTGAGGTAATATTTTGGGGGGAAAGTTTTAGGTGGGGAAATATTTTTGGGGAAAGGTCTAGGTGGGGAGAAATGATTTGGGGGGAAAATATTTTGGGGAAGGTTCTTCCCATTTTTTTTTTACTCCCAATTTCTTTTTATCTTCCTCATTTTGTATTTTATTTAGTTATTTTGTACTTTATTTTCTAATTTTGTTAAATGCTAAATTAAAAACCAAAACCCAAATTAACACTAAAAATTAGATTTCATAAAAAAAATGCAAACTGATACAAATTTAAACTAAAAATGCAAAAGGTACTATTTTTGTTTTTTTCTTCCTACTTTGTTCTAAAACAAATTAACCTTTAATTAATCCTAAAATATGAAACTAGATCCTAAATGTAAATGCTTATTTTTGTATTTTATTATTGTGATTTTTAAAATATTAAAATATATGAAATGAGACTACAAAAGGAAAAATTCCTAAAAAAAAAATCAATAAAAATTATTTTGACTTATTTTTAGGAGTTATCTTCATGTAGGGCAAAAATCACGTGCTTACAGCTTCCCCTCTTTGCTCGGGAACACGAAGAGTTTTCGGGCAAAGATAAAGTAAGCACTGTGAGGGATTTTTGCCCATTTGAAACTCCATGAGAAGCAATTTTTGAAAAACTGTCTCACCGAACCTTGCTTCAAAGGTTGCCTACATATCCTTGGCTATAAAGGAATCAGGTCAGGTGTAGTTCAGAAGTGAACGAGGTGATGGAGTACCGAGGTTGAAAGTCGAGGTTCCGTCCGAGGCTCCGGTCCGCTGTCTCGTTATCAAAATCAGAATTGAAAAGACTAACTAAGCCTATCAGCTACGAGTTACAAGATTCCTATCTATGAGTCTTCTGAAGCTTGATCTTGAGTCTTGGTTGGTGCTTCACGCGGACCCTTGATCTGAATCTTGATGCTTGTTAGCCGCAGGTGTTTGTTCAATCTTCTTCAGCTTTTGGATCAAGACCGGACATGTAGTGTTCATGACTTCAACCACGTCTTGAGCAGTTCACATCTTTTCCTGCTTCTGAATTTTGGAGCTCACTTCTTTTGTTCTTCTTCTTTTTTTTTTCTTTTTTTTGGGATTGAGATTAATTCTTCCTGCCATCTCGAATCGTGTGCCTCGAGGTCAAACCTGCTCGGCACCTTGAACCATTTTCCCTTGAAACTTGAACTGTCTTCCTTCGAAACTACTTTCTCTTGAAACTTGAGTTATATTCCCTTGCTCTCCAGGTGAAATCCATTGTTGCCGTTTTGAATTGTAAATTGAGATGTTTTCCCTTCTTCAAACTGCTGAGCTTGAATGTATTTGAACTTGAATGTGTTCCTCTGTTTTTCAGGCGGGCTCCTGACTTCATAAAAACAGACAAAACAAAGAAAACTTTCTTCCCCAGTTTGGAAACAGGGTACATGTTACTGGATATTAATAAGAATTTAATTAAAACTTGATTTGAAATACCTCTGTTATATAGGCGGGCTCCTGACTTTTGAAACTTGGATTGTATGCCTCTGTTCTTCAGGAGGGCTCCTGACTTCAAAAAGACAAAAAAATCGATTGAAAACTAAAATTTGAATTGTATCACCTATGTTTTTCGGGCGGGCTCCTGATTGCTGAATTTGAAATTGAATGTATTCCTCTATTATCCAGGCGGGCTCCTGACTTCACAAAAATAGACAAAACAAAGAAAACTTTTTGCCCCAGTTTTGGAAAACTGGTTGTTTGTTACCACATACTAATAAGAACTAAAACTTGAATTGTGATAAGACTGAAATGCAACTTTTAAAAATTTAAAGACTGAAATGTATCTTAAAATTTAAAATTTATCGTAGGCGAAAAATTCATCAGACTAAGATTTTCATCTTAGGTGAAAGATTCGATTGACTAAGATTTATCTTTATCTTAGGTGAAAAATTCATTAGACTAAGATTTCCATCTTAGGAGAAAGATTCAACATACTAAGATTTTTATCTTTTATCTTAGGTGAAATATTCATCAGACTAAGATGAGAAAGATTCAACAGACTAAGATTTTTATCTTTATCCTTGGTGAAAAATTCTTCAGACTAAGATTTTCATCTTAGGAGAAAGATTCAACAGACTAAGATTGTGACTCTAGGAGATAATTCATCAGACTAGGTCCATTTTGTGTGATCTCAGGAGGAAGATTCATCGGATTGCGATTTTGACTCTAGGAGATAATTCATCAGACTAGGTCCATTTTGTGTGATCTCAGGAGGAAGATTCATCGGATTGCGATTTTGACTCTAGGAGATAATTCATCAGACTAGGTCCATTTTTGTGTGATCCCGACTTTCTTAATTTTCCAAAGTCCAACTTCCTTTCTTTTCAAATTCTGCCTTCCTTTCTTGTTCCCAAATTATGCCTTCCTTTCTCTCTTTTTTTTTTCGACTTCTGTCCTCCCCTTCTTTAAATTATGCCTTCCCTTCTTTTCCCTCAATTCTGTCTTCCCTTCTTTTTTCCAACTTCTGCCTTTATCTAAATTATGCCCTCCTTTCTTTTCCAACTTCTGCATTTATTTTTTTCAAATTATGCCTTCCTTTCGTTTTTCCAACTTCTGCCTTTATCTTAGGTGAAAGATTCATCAGACTAAGATTTTTATCTTAGGTGAAAAATTCAACAGACTAAGATTTCTTTATCTTAGGTGAAAAATTCAACAGACTAAGATTTCTTTATCTTATGTGAAAAATTCATCAGACTAAGATTTTCTTTTAACCATTTTCCTTCGAAATTTATTTTATCTACCCACTAACTTGAATTATCTTCCTTCAGAACTGCTTCCCTAAAGACTGGTGTTGTCCTCCTTCAAAAAAAACCACTTCCCTAAAAACTAGTGTTTCATTCCTCCAAAAATGACTTTTCTTAGAATTGGTGTTTCTTTCCTGAAAACTACTTCCCTCTCTTTTTCTCTTTTTTTAAAAAACACTTGTATTGACCTTCATGTTCTTCAGATGGGTACCCGAAAAAAAAAATTCAACATGACAGAAAATTTTCTGCCCCAGTTTGATAATCCTCCTGTAGCATATCTTCTGCCATAAATAACATTTCCATGCCCCTGTTTCAAATCAAAGAAAATTCTGTCAGTTTAAAAGTGCGGTGGTTGGTTGTGGTACTCCCGCTGGGATGGCTTTCCTTTTCTCCTTTCCATGATTTGCGTTGCCCGACCATCTTTGAAACTTGGCTGATAACTTNATGTTGTATTGAAACTGTTTGACAAAGGCCCGTGCCATGTCATCCCAGACGTACCAGCAAGATGTATCTTGATCCAAAAACCATTCAGATGCTACTCCCGAGAGGCTTTCCCCAAAATAAGCTATAAGTAATTCTTCCTTTCTTCCCACACCTCTCAATTGGTTGCAATACCTTTTCAGGTGGGCTATGGAGTCTCCATGTCCATTGTACTTTCCAAATTTGGGAACCTTGAAACCAGGCGGCAAGTGGACATCGGGGAACATGCATAGATCTCTGAAGGCAACGCTCTTTTGACCTGTCATTGCTTGCGTGTTTTTCAACCGTTGTTCTAACCTTTTCACTCTTTAGGTTATTTATTCCTGTACTCTCTTTCGGGCAGGCTTCTCGATGTTTACAGGAAGCTCAAACGAGTACGAGTGGTATTTGGGATAGTGGTACTGTTCTTGTTGTGTAGCAAATTGTGACTCGTGACAAGGCTGTCCTTGGCCATTGGCTCAGGCTTGCCGCATTTTGGTCATTTTTTGTTTTAGTGTTCTATTTTCCTCAACCACAGTAGACCTTTGTTGAACCCTCTGACCCTGAGTCTCTTGAGCACTCGTAACAGCTTCGATGTCAGTTATCATTTTTCCTCAGATCTTGTGTTTCCAGCTTACCACAAACAAACCACCTCAACATTCTTCACAATTCAAAACAAAACATGTTAGAATGGATTGAGTCGGTCCTCATTATTAACATCTTTTCCATTGTTTTATTCAATTCTTCTTTTCCATTTTTCATTCATTTTTTTTGTTGCGGTCGAATCTTATGGAGATTGCCTACGTATCATGACCCTTCATGAATCAGACCGTGCGTAGTTCTTGCAAATAAAAGGTAAACGACAATAAAATATTTTTGG